TCATGCAAACAGAATATCAAAAATCACAAAGAATGGGTGTTGTCATGAGTGGAACTTCTGATCAGAAGTTATGAGAACAAGAAAGGTTACCATGGTATTAGGGCTAGTGGTTATATGCTAGGCTAGTCTTGCTAAATGGGGCTAGTTACTAAATTCTCAAACCTTTGTCATATAACTTAAAGCTTTAAATGTACAGCCAGAGTTTACCCAAGGTTCGTTCCATAACTGATCATCAATTCAGCCTCAGTTTCCAACAGTGTTCATGCTTCATTCTTTTAGTAATTTAACTCTTCTTTACTCTTCATATTCAGAAAGTTCAGAAACAAATTTTTTGTTCAATATATGTATTTAGTGCAAAATATATTTGGTATGGTAGCTTAAATAACCATTAACTCCCAATAACTACTCAAATTAACGGGTAAACTCTGTTCTCACAACCTTACCCTTATATCTTCCTTTATCTAGTAGAATGGGGTAGAAATTCATAAAATGTCAGTTTTCTCTTTTTTTCAAAACCTTGTACCATAATGTTAGGAAATATAGGTTAGAAATGATTGTCAGAAACCACCTGGATATAAAAACCTAGTGGTTTACATTTAAGCCCTCAGACATTAGCAAAGACTACCTTCTACTCCAGTTAAACCTGTATTATTTCAGTCACAGAGGTAACCCCCCCCCCCCAGCTCCAAGACAAACATTCCAGGCTGAGCCAGAAAACAAAGTGTTTGTGAGTCATAATAGATCACTGTTTTTTGTTGTAGTTGCTTTGTTTTCTTATCCACTAGGTATCTGCAATGCATAAATGCATCAATAGAATATAGGTACAATTATTTCATAGTATTTTTGCATTCTTTTTTGCATTAGCTACCTCCAATTTCTGCTATATTAGTTGTTAATTGATCTATGTTTTATATTGAGTGACCAAATAGTTCTGAGTGTAAAATTGCTGAAATAAAATGGAATGAGAAGAAAAAGAAAGAGCTATTTAGTTTCTTCTTATCACTGCAGGAATAAAGATTAAAAATTTGACACAGTCAAATACTAAGGCCTGTTTAAGAATGAAAGGTGCAAAAACAAACATAGCAGGACAAATTGCTTTCTAACTAAGATACTACAAATTACTAAGTTAAAAATGATAAATTGTTAAGATAAACGACAACTTAAATTTATTTTTAAGAATTATAGAAAAATAACTTAAAAATCTATGGTGATATATAGTTAGAAGGCATACTTTATATACTTAAGTATACATATACAACACTTTAAGGAATCTCTAAAAGTTCTAATTCTGTAGTTATATGAAAGGAATAGAGAAATTCTTTATTCCCAACAAGCTCCCAGATCATAGTGATACAAGTGTTACAATAATACTTTCAATAGGAGTTCTAGAAAACAACATACTTATGGGTTATCCCTCCTCCAAGTTCCTCCCTATCTCCCCATTCCTATCAGTATACACCCCCTTTTCTGTCTCTGTGCAAACAGGCATCTCAAGTATAATAAAATATAATAAGGTAAAGCAAAAACAAATCAAAATCAAAATAATAATAATATAACAGTAATAATAATAATAAACAGAAGTAAAAGATACCAAGAAGAGCCTGGCGGTGGTGCCGCACGCCTTTATTCTTAGCACATGGGATGCAGAGTCAGGTGGATCTCTGTGAGTTCAAGGCCAGCCAGGTCTTCAAAGTGAGTTCCAAGGCAGCCTTGGCTGTTACATAGAGAAACCCTATCTGGAAAAAAAAAAAAAAGAGGGAGGGGGAGAGGAAAGAGAGGAGATCAAAAAAGGGGTACTAAAAACAGATATAGATACAGAGACCCATTAATTTATACTTTCAGGAATCCCATCAAGCAAAATACCAAAAACTATCAAAGGACCTATAAGGGGAGGGGGAAGAGATAAAATTAAATGAAAGAAAATGAAGAAGCCCTGGCATGAGATTATGGAACAAAGAACATTCCAAGATTCTATTGATGTTTTTTGTTTTGTTTTGTTTTGTTTTTCCCTAGTGGCTATCTACTGCTGATAGAGTGGTCCACTTTAAAAGTAGTTTGTTTTCCCAATGAGACTCCTTTTTTTGCAGAAAACTAAATTTTCATTTGTAGTGGTTATCCAATGGAGATAGGTTTTATTTTAGGAATGTGGACATGTGTCCAGTTTTTGTTTTCAGGTCCTGGATCCTATTTAGTGCAGAGCCCTGAAGGCCATGTGTAGGCTGCCTCAGCCTCTATGAGTTCGTATGTACATTTGTCCTGCTCTGTTTAGAAGGTCTTGTTTCCTTTGTGTCCTCAGTCCCCTCTAGCTCTTACATTCGTTCTACCTCCTCCTTCCACAGGGTTCTTTGAGCTCTGAGGAGAGTGATTTGATGGAGACATGCCATTTAGGGTTAAGTGTCTGAGGTCTCTTACTTTCTGAATATTTTCTGGCCTTATTGGTCTGTTTCTATAGTTGTACTTACCAACTACAGGAATAAATGTCTCTGATAATGGCTGTGCAAGACACTGATTTATGAGTATACCAGACTGTCATTTGGAGCATTTTGTTGCCACATTTCCTCAGCAGAACAGTAGTATTTGGTTTTCCTCTAAGTTCCTGACCTTTCTGATCTTAAATTCTTTGAGTGGTTTCCATCTCATGGACTGGGCCTTATAGCCAGTCAGATAGTAGTTTATTACTTCCAGTTCTCTGGTGCCTTTATTGCACCAGTAAGCACATCTTGAATGTACTTCAGCATGTACAGTGTCTTCAAGTACCATCAACACTAGTCATTAGGGGTGGTCTCTCAGAAGGCACTAGCTTGACTCCTCTGTGTTTAATGAGTTGTGTAGGCATTGTCTTCAGAAGTATGGCCTCACTGTTAGTTTGTGGAGAGCAACCTATAGCCTTACCAACAGCCTGGGTTGTTTTTGGGTTCCCATGGCACTCCTTTGGCCGACAACTCAGTTACATAACCCATTTCCAATATTTGGAGCTTTATTTAATGACAAGAGATAATACAGTTAGGGCTCTTTCTCCTCTGTTATTATTTCATTCACATTACCTCCATATATGTATATATTTTAGGAAGCTCTACTATATTGTGTTTCCATACTTCCACTCATTTGTCCTCAATTTTTTTCTTTTCCTGTATTTCCTCCCTTATTCCCCTCCCAACTTGATCCTCTCCTAACTCCCAATACCCCCCAACACACACACACTACAGACTACCCATCCATAGCTATCTATTCTGTTTCCCCTTCCTGCAGAGATGTATCTGTCCCCCTAGTCCTTTACTTTCAAACTAACCTCTGGTTCTACTGATTATAGCTTGGTTATCATTGAATTATCAGCTAATATCCACATGTATTATTTGCTTTTCTGGACTTCAGTTACCTCACTCGGGATGTTTTGGGGATTTTTCCCCCTAGTGTCATCTATTTACCTGGAAATGTTTCATGTATTCTTTATCTTTTCAACTGTTGAGGGACATCTAGATTGTTTCCAATTCCTGGCTATTATGAATAGAGCTGTGGTGAACAGGCTTTGCCAAGTGTTTCCGTGGTAACATGAAGCATCCTTTGGATATATGCCTAAGAGAGGTATAGCTGCATCTTGAGGTAGATCCATTCTGATTTTCCCAAGGAACCACCTCACTGATTTCTACAATGATTGTACAACTTTCCACTTCCACCAGCAGTGGATACGTGTTTGCCTTACTCAACATTCTTAGCAGCATGAGCTGTCATTCAGTTTATTGATCTTACTCTGTCAGATGTGTAGTTTGTAAACATTTTTTTTTTTTTTTGCATTCTGTAGGCTGCTGCTTTGTCTGAATGATGGTGTCCTTTGCCATGTAGAAGTTTCTTAGTTTCATGAGTTCCCATTTATTAATTGTTTATCTGAGTGCCTGTGATAATGGTGTTCTGGTCAGAAAGTCTTTTTGGTGCAAATGAGTTCAATACTTTTCCCATATTCTCTTTCATGTATCTGGTTTTATGTTAGGTCTTTGATCTGTTTGAATTTGAATTTTCTGCAGGATGTAAATATTAATTAGTTTGCATTCTTCTATAAGCAGCCATCCTGTTTGACCAGCATCATTTACTGAAGATACTGTCTTTTTCCAGTGTGCATTTCTTGCTTTGTTTTTTTTTTAATCAAAAAATAAGTTGTCCATATTTTTTTGGTTTCATGTCCAGTTCTTCAACTCAATTCTCTTGATCAATACCATGCTGTTTATTATTATAGCTCTGCAGTACAATTTGAAGTCAGGGATGGTAACATATCCTATAGTGCTCTTATTCAGCATTGTTTTTTCCTGTCCTGGGTTTATTCTGACCCAAACTGTAATGTAGAAGTGGGACCCAAGTATTATTTAATCTCTATTTTCTGATAAGAAATTCTTGTAAAATTAATATTGAAAAGTGCAGAACTTTCCTTACCTCAACTTAACCATGAAATATTTATTCATTAATGGGCAAAATATAAACATAATTGAGATTCTATCAAATGTAGTTTGAACTCCAGTTCTTTTCCTTCTAGTTCATGAACCTATGAACATTTTTCATCTCTTTGAATACATAATAGAAAAAGGTATGAAACAATTTTCTTGAATTTATGATTAAGGTATGAATATTTAGATGACAGGATTCATGTTGTTTTCAAGTAATCAGATTTTGTGATTAGTGTATAGTTCTCAACTTATTTAAACTTGAAAATATTGTATAATGTCAAAAAATCTTTAGCTTTGCCATATAAGTATATAACAGACAGGAATTATAACTATGCTATTCCTTGTTTATGGCACTTTCATCGGTTTTGGTGCTTCTGTCATTTTCTATAATCGACAAAATAAATATCCCAAACTGAATTGGATTTTGATCAAGTGTGAAACATTTTAGGAATTGTCCTTAAGAAGCCTTTATTCAGTATTGAAAGAATTTTGTTTCCATGCTATGAAATGTTTCCTTATGTTCTTGAGCAAATAAGTAAGTGCTTTTGTGTGCTTGTTTTCTTTTAGGAAACTCTCATAGACTGGTGTGATGAAAAGGAACTTAATTTGATATTAACAACTGGAGGAACAGGGTTTGCTCCACGAGATGTCACTCCAGAGGTGAGATAGATTGCCTTTTTCATATATAAGAATAAGCCAGTTACATTATTTTTTATTCTGTTTACTATTTTCATATTATTTATTTGCCTTTTATAAGCAAAACTATTACTCATAGCTATGACAGTACAAATATTTGGCTGTAGAAAAATTTTTTGAAATTTCTTGACTTTTTATTTAATCTTGAAATTAGTATGAGGAACTTTTTTCTGCTTCATTTGCTTGGTGGCAGCTACACTTCAGGAGGTTATAGCATATTTTTGCCATTGCAATTCCAAATTGAATCTTGTTTCCCTCCTCTTGAAGTACCTTTGTCATTTGTCTCAAAGTACAGTAAATAATTACTATATATTTATACTAAATTTACACTAAATTGATGAAAAGGCACTATATTTTGAATATTTTATGTGAACAAATTTTATGCTGAATTTAATACTCTAAACAATGTAACAAATATCCATAGTTTATGTCTCAGAGGTGTCTTTAACAGAGGAAGAAAAAAATAGGGAAATAATACAACAGGAATACAGGGAAAGGGTCTTTAATTTCTTAAAAAAACAAAACAAACCACACACACTGTGAAGTAGTGAAAACTTATATTATCATTATAACTTGCTTTCCTTTGCCCTTCAAATAAATGTTTCTGGATCAATTTCAACTTAATGTCAATTACATCTATTTTCAAACTAGTATACTATTGTATCTGTTACCTTATTATTGACAGGGTTTTCATTTAGTCTTTTATTATTGTCTCCATACATTTTTAAACTTTGGTCCCCATTAGAGTACACAAGAATCCCTGCACAAATATAGATTGCTGGGCTCCTCCCATACAGTTCCTAGTTGAAAATAGATTGCTGCTTTGTCTTCAGTAGATTCCCAGAATTTTTTTTAAACAAATCATTATTTGGTAAAAATGTTTCTAATCCGTAGATTATACTTCCAAATTCTGAAAAGTATTGTATACTTTTTGAAAATATAATTTTCTAAAAGAAGTTCTGAAATACTTTTATTGACTGCTTTCTTGTTTTAATACCTTTTTTATGTCGGTACTACAATGGGAATTATAAGTAGAATACATTTTTTAAAGCATTTGAAGAGTTGTTTTGTTATAGTGTTAACTTTAACTGTATAAATCAAAAGATCATTCTTATGAATCTATTTAGTTTCTGTGTCTTAACTTGACGCCTAACATAAAGTGGTTTTTTGACCAATTTATAATATGAGACTAACTAAAAAGAATGCAGTTGGCATAGAAACTGTCTTGTGTGTTTACATTTAATGTACTTTTGTTACAAGGAAACTACCCATATGAAATTTTTGATTTTTAGAATTTTGATATTATTTAAATCATATTAAGGTTGTATAATGAGTGCACAGTTTTTATATGATGGTTTGTTATGTTCACTTTCCTGTTCATTTTTACGTCAGAAAAATTACCATAAAATTCATTTACAATCAAATATGGTGTTAATTTAATTATAAGGAAATGGTTTACATCACTAAGTATTTTGTTTACTGTAATTTGTTGTTCATTAATTCTATCTCTTCCACTAACCAACAAGGTAACCATAAGAAGGCTGCACTCATTTACATTAATGATACATTTGTGGAAGTTTTTCTCACACTGTTTAGTTCTTCAATTCTTTATACACCAGTTGCCTTTCATCTCAATTAAATTCAGTTTTTTGCTTAAAATTGTTCAGACTGTCTAAATATAAAGCTCAGTACCACAAGGCTGTCTTCATATCTGATGTCATCAATAAATCTTTAGTTCCTCAGATTATGTATTCTTTATCTTGTTTTTCTTAAGTCTTTGGATTCACACACATCTTCCCTGCCAAAAGATTATTTGCTGGAATGTCACACAAAGCTTATTTATAGATAGACAACTCATAAGCAGCTCTTTTGAAGGGAGTCATAATTCAATACATAGGAGGGACTGATAACAGAAATTCTATGCTTTGTTCAGATGCAATACAGTTACAACACCCAAATGCATTCAGCAATTTTTGGGCAATGGGTATTTTAATGCTTAATGGCTTTTTAGCATTCAAACTCCACCCCATCTGTGAGTGAGACTGAAAGTTTCAACATTATTACTCAGTGCTTCTTCAGAGGCTATGGGGATCTATCCTCTTTGCAAGTCAAGAGACTTGTAATGGATACCAAAAAGGTACTCACTCCTATTATTAAGGTTATTTTTGGAATTTGGGGTTTCTGGGTATAGAAGCAGGGATTAGTCATTTAATCATTCTCTTGTTTAGTCTCCTTCAAATAAGATAAATGGAATTATACATGTCCCTGTGGTCTGTGAACATTCATTTTTAAAGATTTGTTTTTATTATTTATGTGTATAGATATGTAGGGGTATGATACACATAGTTATAAAAGTATATATATATGTGCATATATACATGTATATCAGTATATATACCTATATTTCCATAAGTATACATCTATTACATGCATGTATACTTATGGAAGTATATGTATTATATCCCATTTGTATATGTATATATACTTATATGCATATATGCACATATGTGTATATAAATGTATCTACACACACATATGCACAGATATTAGTGCAGTTGCTCACAGAATTCAGAAGAGGGTTAGATCTCCTGGATCTGGAGCTATAGGTGGTTGTGAGATATGTGATATGGGTGTTGGAACCAACTATTAAGTCATCTCTCTAATTCCTAGCTTTCATTTAACTTTTTAAGAATTCACATAAAAGGTGACAGGTTTTATTATGGTATTTTCATAATACTTTGTTTTTGTTTATCACCTATTTTTTGCTCTCCCATCTCTTGGCTGCCCCCAACCCTTTGCCTCAAGTGGTTCCCTTTGCAGTTCATGTCACATGCACTGTTATTTTCTGCTATCCTATTTATCCCTTTTCCTTTGAATCTTACCCTCCCCCGTTTGCTATTCTGTTTTGATGAACTATATTCATACGCACTTTCATATAATTATATGTATTAAAAACCACTCTTAACATTTCGTGTGAGTTTGCTTAAAGTGCTTCAAAATTTTCCTTTATTTGTTATGCAATTACCTAGTTGTTGAGGAGGGGTTTTTTTTTTATGTAACTATCACACAAACAATATAGTCTTAATAACTAATCAGAGTCTACCATGAAATCTTCAAAATCTTGAAATATTTGTTGATTTTTAATTAAGCATCATATCTGATCCTTTCTCATCTTTTACTTCTGAAATTTATGCTATTCTAATATTTTTATGTTTTTTTGCTCATTTTGATACTATTTATTGATAAGACTCTTACTATGACTTTTTGTTTCATATATCAGAAATCAAACAGCATTTTATTCTTTATTATTTAATTACTTGAAAAACACAGAGATGTTTTTCTAATCTTTTGTGCATGTAGTAATTACCTAGATAAAGCATTACCCTTACAATCTATATATATAGTGTGTGTGTCTACCTAGTATCTCTTTTAAAACAATGATTTTTTTGATTATTAACAACCTGACATATTGTTTATATCACTTTATATTTCACATATAGAAGAGTTGTATCTGATATGAATATAGCAAAAGTTGTTTAAAGGCTTTAATAAATGAACTTTTTTTAAAAAATGAGGCCTATGAAACAATTTTTCCTTTATACCCTTAAGTAAGTACAATTCCTATATTATTTAAAATATAGCAATGTGTTCAATACAAATTAAATTTAATTTTGGACTTAAAGTATGTAACTGTTTATATATTCATTGTTCTATCTATTTATACCCCACAGAGTAGAGGGTGTTACTATGCACATTTATCTATATACAACTGTAACTAACAATTTTTTTATATAGTGCTAGAGTTTAACTGATACAATTATTCATTTTACAATTAAAAAATAATGCACAGTTCCTTTTTTATGGAACTACTATTTTATAATTATTGTCAAGCACAAAGGACAATTTTTGGTCAGATGTTAGTGCTATAACTGAAAACACATGAAGAGTCAAAATGGTAAATGCAATAAAGGAAATAAAGCAATTGGTATGAATTGTAAATGAAATATATTTTAATCAGCTTAGATTTCTTTCTAATTCTCTTTCAAAAGGAGAATGTAAATAGAAAAGTCCATAAATTACAGCCTTAATGCTATTATCATCAATAATTTTCTCAAGATTATGGCTTTGTTTCTACTTATATATGTTAACATGATCACAGTCTTTAACATTTTTAACCTCATTTTAATATGAAATTTTTATATTTTCAGATTTATTGCATTTTTATTCTCATTGTTGGGTAATTAATTGGCACATGAAATTTCATGAACATAAAGCATCACTTTATTTCTTAGCTCTTTATGTTCACTTATTGCTGTAATCATGTGTGTTCTAAAAGAATCTTATGTTATTCTTAGAAATAAATAGTTTAATTATAGATGCTTGATTCTAGGCCAGACTAAAACATTGAGAAGTGTATAAAGTGTATCTTTATAATTATTAAAGTATTTGATAATATTTTTAGTAAGTTAGAAAATATTAAGCTACTTAATTCACAAAAAAAATTAATCTCAGAACTTTTTGAAGCTAGGCTAAAATAGAATTAAAGTTTATATGATGATTTATTATTTTGATCATGCTCAACTATATTACACCTATGATTTATGTACATCTATATTTTTCAAGCTTGTATTTTTAATATTCTTTATGTACCCAATGGCACGCTGTTTTCTCAATTTTAAAAATTAATAAGACTTGTCTATATTATTCAAAAAGTTGAAGATTTGTAACAGTACTCAAAATTTGACATAGGCCAAGTACTGCCTGGCATCCTTTGTGTATCCTGTTAAGTATAAAAGGGAATTACATCTTTACATGAATGAGAAGAAAATTAAAGATGTTATTTGACATATGAATGTAATTTGGAATTTAAATTTTATTATCTGCATATTTGGAACACATACCGCAATTTTTATGCCATTTATGTCTGTAAGCCTGAGTGAAATTCTGTCTCTCTCTCTCTCTCT